GGAGAACACGGGCTCAGCCCGTTGGCAGATGGCCCTGGTGCGCCAGGCCGGGCGGGACGAGGACCCCGACACCCCCGAGAAGGTGGTGAGGAGGGTGCAGGAGGTGTCGGCCGTGCTCTACCACCTTGACCAGGTTTGGGGGCTCCCAGGGGGGTTTGGGGATCCCAAGGGGATTTGGGGGCTCCCAGGGTGTCCCAGGGGGTCCCTGAGGGCTCCCAGGGGGATTTGGGGGATCCCAAGGGGCTCCCAGGGGGGTCCCAGGGGGGTTTGGGGATCCCAAGGGGATTTGAGGGCTCCCAGAGTGTCCCTGAGGGGTCTCAGGGGGGTTCCAGGGGGGTTTGGGGGCTCCCAAGGGGGTCCCAGGGGTGCAGGAGGTGTGGGCCGTGCTCCAACACCTCCAGCAGGTCTGGGAGGGGTCCCAGGGGGTTCCCAGGGGTGTCCCTGGACCGGGGGTGTTCTGGGGTGTTCCGAGGGGTCCCGGGGGGTCCCGGGGTGTCTGTGGGGTGCCCACGTGCCCCCCCCGCAGACGGAGCACCCCTACAAGTCGAAGAAGGCCGTGTGGCACAAGCTCCTGTCCAAGCAGCGCCGCCGCGCCGTCGTCGCCTGCTTCCGCATGACCCCCCTCTACAACCTGCCCAGGTGGGGCCGGGGGCACTGGGGGGGCACTGGGGGGGCACTGGGAGGGGGGGTGGACACCCTGAGACCCCCTCGGGGGGCACTGGGAGGCTCTGGGGGCCTCTGGGAAGGGTCTGGGAGGTGTTTGAGGAAACCCTGGGGTGACCCCTGGGAGACCCTCAGTGGCACCGGAGACCGTGGCTGACCCCGGGTGACCCCCAGGTGCCCCCAGGTGTCCCCAGGTGCCCCCAGGTGCCCGTGTCACCCCCCAGGTGCCCCCCCAGGTGACCCCCTGTCCCCCCCAGGCACCGGGCGTGTAACATGTTCCTGGAGTCGTACCGGCTCTCGTGGCTGGGCCGGGAGCAGCCGCCCTTCGAGGACAGGATGATCGACGACCTCTCGGTGAGCCCTGACCCCCTCCCCGGGATTGGGGAGCCCCTCCCGGCTCTGGGGATCCCCCCCCGGGATTGGGGACCCCCCCTGACCCGAGGGGGTGTTTTTTTGGGGGGCAGAAGTCGGGGCGGGAGGAGGAGGAGGAGGAGGAGGAGGCCGAGGCGCGGCCGGACCCGCTGCACCAGCTCATCCTGCACTTCAGCAGGACGGCCCTGACCGAGCAAAGGTACCACCTAAATCACCCCAAAACACACCCAAATCACCCCAAAACACCCCCAAACACAGCAGCTCATCCTGCACTTCAGGTACCACCTAAATCACCCCAAAACACACCCCGGGGTGCCCAAATCATGTGGGGGGACCCCAAGCCCCAAAACACACCCAGAGGGACCCCGAAACACATCGGGCAGGACCCTGAAGCCCCAAATCCCACCAGGGGGACCCCAAATCCCACCAGAGAGACCCCAAAACCTGGGGGAGACCCTGAAGCCCCAAATCCCACCAGAGGGACCCCGAAACCCCAAATCCCACGAAATGCCACTGGGAGGGTGTGGGGGGACCCAAAACCTGGGTGGGGACCCCAGAATCCCCCCAGGGGAGGTGTTGGGGGTCACCCCCACCCCTGGGACCCCCCCCTAACCTGTGCCCCCTCCCCAAAATGCCGCAGTCACCTGGAGCAGGATCACCTGTACATGGCCTACGCCGGCATCATGGCCAAGGTGGGACCCCAAAAAGGGGGGCGGGGGGTTTGGGGGGGTCCCTGGGGCTTGGGGGGCAGGGGGAGATTGGGATTTGGGGGGGGGGGAGTCCCCAGAATTTGGAGGGGGGGACCTGGAGATTGGGGAGGGGGTTCCCAGGGGTTTTGGGGGTCCCTGGAGGGTGGGTGGGGGGGTCCCCAGGGATATTTGGGGGGGATCCAGAGACTGGGGGGGTCCCCAGGGATTGAGAGGGTCCCCAGGGATTGGGGGGGGGTCCCCAAGGGTGGGGCACTCAAAGATGGGGGGGCTGAGGGTGGGGGGCAGGAGCTTGGGGGGTCCCCAGGGATTGGGGGGTTTCCCTGGTTATTTCGGGCCTCCCCAGGGATTTTGGGGGCCCCCCAAAAGGCTGGTTGAGGGGGGGCTAATTTGGGGAGCCCCCTCCTTAAATTCCACCCCCCCC